GGAAAGAAATAATATAAAAGCCCTTAGAGGGCCATTATATAAATAATTTTCTTAAAATAAGGTCCTGCTTTGAAATTTGTTAAAATTGGTGTTTCACTCCATTCCATATCTTCCGATTTTCTCCTTATATGAATGGGTTGTTTTAGCCCTTGAGGGCTGTACAGTATGTTCCGGAATAATTTTTGGGTGGTAGGTTTGTAAGTTTGAATCTATGTACACGATATTTAGTGATATTTTTTATATATTTTAAGTCACAAACTCTAAGTTCTCCTTTGTAATTGTTTCCAGCTGATGATGGGATTCTTTTAATCCCGAAACATGTCCTAGTAGTTTTCCAACAAAGAAACAAATAAGAATTGGTGGAGAAGACTGAAGTTTTCTTTTTGTAATTTACGAAACTCCACTGTAAGAAAATGAAAATGGACTAGTTTTTCAAAAATAGCTTTTTCTTCAGTAAGTTTATACAACGGCGCTGCTACCTTAACAAAATCCTTCTACATGCTACGTCTGTAGTATGCACAAAGCCCAAGGAAACTTCTGAGTTCATATTTGTCCCGAGGTCGAGGCTATGTTCACCATTTGCTTGGATTTTTTTCTCGTATCAGTATCAGTTCCTTCGGGTGAAACTAAGTGGCCAAGAAAATCAAAGCGCTGTTAACGCAGTGAACATTTCTTGCCATTTATTCGGAGATTTGCCTCATGGGTACAAGTAAATACCTCTTGTAAGTTCCGCAGGTGCTCATCGAAAATTTTTCCCGTTACCAACACATGATCCAAATAGATAATGCATTCTTTCCACGTAAGTCCACGTAGTACTATTTCCAGCAATCTCTCAAAAGTGACTTGGGCATTACCGTTAAAGAGTCCAAAAAGCATTACCTTGAATTGGTAAAGACCACTTCCAATGAAGAAGGCTGTTTTCTCTTTATCTTTTTCGACAATGCACAGCGGCCAGAATCCGCTTTTTAAATCCAATTTGCGTCTGCTAATGTCATAGGGGTATTGTCAATTCTCGTTAATGGGTAACTATCTTTCTTAGTGACATCGTTAAGCTTTCTATAATCGAGGCAAAATCTGGTCATCTTTCTTTGTTACCAGTACAGTTGGCGATAATCACGGACTTGAAGACTCTTCAGCAACTCCCCTGCAAGAATACTGTCTACTAGTGCTACTAGTGACTTCACTTCTTGGCGTTTGGTCATGGGAAGTCTTCTAGGTGGATGACGGATCGGATGAGCACTGCCGGTATTGATTTATTGTTTGATGATGTTCGTCTTACCAGTTTCGCCATTTTTACCCTCAAACAATCCTTATTCTCACAAAGGAACTGTTGAGCCTTCTTTAGTTCTGTAGAGGACAGATATTTCGAATTATCTTAGAATGTCGCTGGATAATTTATTTCCTTTTTTTCCTAGGTGTTCTTCAGCTTCCCACTTTGAAATCACTTTAACAGGCTCATAGGGCTCACATCACCCTTGCTGATTTGAATAGTGTTGTGGCAGAGGTTGGCTATTCGCACTGGTATAATTCCTTGTGAGTTCACTAGAGTTTCTCTGACGAGATATTTATTGCAAGTTTGGTGTGGTTGTATAATTCCAACGCAGCTCCCAGAACCATTCTCTAACTTTCTACATATAATTTGTTCGGTGTTACCTTTTATTTTCACAGATCGTGTAGCTTTTACGCAGACGAATTTTGCAGCCTTGGGTTTGGACAGTACACAATCTTCAGTGCCAAATTTCAGGATGTTGAGCTGGTTGACGAATGCAAAACCATGTTGACTGATTTATGGCCGGTATTATAAAACACTGAACCGATGGTTGAGTTTCAACCTTCGGTTGACTCCATGCAAATTGATAGGATTCAACCAAAGGTTGAAACTCAACCACACTGATAAAATTCATTTGGGTATATTCAAATAAATGATGTATTTGGCAAAATTTTATTCCTACGGAATAATTTTTATTCGCGTTAAACAAAATATATTTGAAAAAGAACATTTGTACTAAATGGGAGTTCGGACCTCAAATACCCGTTATTTGCAACAAAAAATTTTTTTACTTGACAAAATTATATTCGGAGGAGCTCTCCACCTGGGGCATCCAGGCATCAGGCGAGCAAAAGGCAGTTGCCATAGTTGTCCATTTTGTGCAAGAGCTGTTAGAAGTGAAGTATTAAATTTTATGTCGCGCAGGCCCAGTGTGGTGAAAAACTTGGTGAAAAAGGTATTAAGTATAAACAGGCCACTGTTATCACCTAGATTAGAATCGATGACAAAGGACTGCTGGTGCAGTGGGATCTTGGCCATTTATGGCCTTTATTTGAAGGTAAGTTTTAAATTATTAATTTTTTCATAAATAGAAACCTGCTATTGCTTACTTTGCTATATCTTTATCTTTTCTTAATTACTAATTTAAAAAACCGAGTTTTTAATACAAAAGTCCATATTCCATATTATTCTAAATAAATACCGAGTGTTATAATAACGCACGCACGGCCATTATTTTTTTGAAATATAGCCTACTTCATAAGCAACTCTTTTAACGACGCGATACTAATAATATTAGATACATTTGTAGAACATCCCAACTAATGTTTGTTTCCAATAAATACCCATTTTTTTCTTATTAACAAATAAACATTATTTTTTTAAGAAGCGTTTTTTATTTGCCAGCCAAATCCTCTTATCCCAAAGTTTGTATGTACAATTCGTCGAGGAATAAAAAGACACTTATTTAGTCTTAAGGTTTATATACTATTTTATGTACTCCAGGAACTAAAAGTATACTTTTAGTACCTATTTTCAGGGACTAAAGTGGCACTTCAAATTCCTAGGGAATTAAAATTATTTTAATTCCTAAAGATCCGCAATATTCAGATCTTTAGGGATTATAATCATTTTAGATTCCTAGGGATTTAAAGTGCCACTTCAGTCCCTGAAAATAGGGACTAAAAGTATACTTTCAGTCCCTAAAGTTCATAGAGGAATATTAATTTCAAACATATAATATATGCATGATTATAAACTGGTAAACAAGTGAGCTGACATATTCAAATAAATACCTATTTGTTCAGACCATATAGAACAAATATTTATTTGAGTTCACTCCTATTAGTGTTTTATAATACCGGCCCTAAGTCCATTCCCAAAATAAACTCATGTTCTATATCAGCAATCAGCACTGTGTGATTGATTTCTATATTTCCTAATTTCAGGTCGATTTCTGTTTCTCCATGCACATTTGCGGTCTCTCCAGTCATTGAAATGGCTTTTGCATTGAACTTCTTGGCAATGTTGTTAGTAGAGATATGGCTGCGCCTGTGTCCATTGTTATGATGATATTTGTCCCATTAATTTTTCCTTCAATAGTGAAACTATCCGCAGTCTCTCGTAGCATTTTAATGGATATGATCCTGGAGGCTGCACTTGTACTAGACAAACACCCGCCCCTCCGTGTTGAGTGATTGTAGTTTTCCTGGTTGTCTCTCTGAAAGCTGGAGAATCACGAGAAGGTGAGCGAGACTCTCGCCCTACTCTACAGTCACGTTTTGAATGTCCCTTTCTACCGCAGTGGTAATATTCAATGTCCCCTTTCCCGTTCCCTTCATTGCTCCTGAAACCCTTTCGCATTCCTCCCAGAATTTCCTTCATCGTCTCTTCAATTTTTCCAATTGGTTATCTTGTTCCTCTTGTACTGACACAGCTCTGATCTTTTGCTTGGATTCTTATATGCTGCTTTAAATTCTAGGGCTTTAATAATGGCTTCGCTGCTGATGGATGGCTTGTTTATGAGCAGCGTTCTCTGTACGTGCATATCTCGAACTCCATTTATGAAATTCTCGGCCGCTAGTTGTTCTCGCAATTCTGCTGCTGCTTCGGGGTAGGCCAAATTAACCAGACGGCGGATGTCCCTAGCGTTTTGTTGCCTTGTTCTTAATTGTACCTGGTAAAGTTGCGTTCGGAACGCATCGACAAGCGCACCATAATTTTGTTGGGAAGCTGGCGGACGAGTCTCTAATAGGTTTAAAACAGGTCCATGCGATGCTAGCCCTAGAAATTAAAGCAGCATATAAGATATCCAAGCGAAAGGTCAGAGCTGTGTCAATACAAGAGGAACAAAAACCAATTGGAAAAATTGAAGAGATGATTAAGGAAATCCTGGGAGAAATGCGAAAGGGTTTCAGGAGCAATCAAGGGAACTGGAAAGGGGACATTGAATATTACCACTGCGGTAGAAAGGGACATTTAAAATCAAGCCTGTAGCCATGTCATCGGAGCTCCAACCATTAGCATTGCAATGCAACAGTCTCGAATTGACGTTTATGCATAGCCCACGATGTCTGTCCGTCATATTATGGTGGTGGCTTAACTTTAACACCAGGTGCAGGCGAGGAGGAGGTATTTTCTGATCTCAAGTCACATTCCCATTTTCTTATTTTCTCTTCTCAAAACTATCCGTTTCTTGGCGTGCTTCCTGACGAACAGTTTCAGCTTTCTGATGAACACTCCCAACTTCTTGACGAACCTTCCCAACTTCTTCACGTACGTACTTCTTCTATTGCTTCCGCTGCTGAATTTATCATTTTCTCGAGTCGAATTTGTTCCTCAGAGATTACGCATAGATAGGGCTGAATTGGAGCGATGGTACGGGTTAGTTAAGGTTAGTTTTTTCACCACTAACGCAAGCCAACCTGTGCCATTGCTCAAATTCAGCCTGATCTATGCGCCAGAGTCATCGGAAAATTGGACCTCTCGGATGCGCGCCACCCAGCGCAGCGGCGGTGGCCATTTGAACGACGTCATATTTCACAAATAATGTCATTGATAGGCCTTTTAAGTAAAATAAAAAATTCTTTGATATCTTACACACAACTTGTTTTATTCAATTTTAAATATCTACCCGTTCATATTGGAAAACCCTATTCCTACCTGTTACCTGCTCACATTTATTTGACTGACACCAGAATGACAAGAAGTCAAATTCTAAAATATACAATAATTTTTTTCGTATTATACTTTGTTAAAAATTTCGGTGAATAATGAATTATTATGCAAGGAGTCATGTTAAGGTTCTATCTTGGCTTTACAAACAAAATATGAGTGATCTACAAAAAAATCCAGCAGCAGACTCGGTGAGCTCCTATTTTGTTCATATTTTAGATGCTTTTAACACGATATTGCATTCCTCCCCAGGAAGTCTCGATAGTCTCTAGTAGCTCTCAAATGACAGTACTCTCAGAAGCAAGCGCTCAAGTAATGATGGAGTCTATGCGGTCAGTAAGTCAGCAAGATATTTTTGAAACTAATTGGAGCAGAGCTTTTAAAGATGTAGCGCACGTAATTATTGTAAGTACCCTTTTGCGTAGATACCTACCTATCCTTATTAATCCTAGAACTAAGGGGCGGTATTGCTAATGGTGTTTGAGTATTTACCTACTTAAAAATTTTGGTACAGCATAACATACAAAATTTTAATTTAAATAGTTTTTTCTTGTTTGAGTTTCAAATTTGTATCAGGTGATACAATGTGGGAAAATATCACGTAGGTAGTATATTAATTTTTCCACGTTAGTCAAATAGTAAATAGTTATAATACCTGGCATTTGACGTAAAATATTTGGTTTTATATTTTGACAATGAAATTTTCTAATATTTAAGGAATACCATAAGCATAATAATTTTGCGAATAAATATGGGAAAACGAACGAATATAGGCAGATGATGCGGTCTGCGCTCGTGGAATTTAGATTTTTTAAAGTTTTCTATCGCAGTGTTGACACATTTCAAGGAACCATAAGCCGAAGAAATTCGTTTTCGTACACACCGAATTTTTCAAGCCAAATTACTCGTTTTGTTCCTTATTTAAATAAAATAGTTTATACATTTTCGATTTTGTCATCGTCAGAAAGCCTCATCTTTCTACTTACAAAAATATATAGGTACCTACATGTTTTTAATTAGGTATCTAGAAAATTAAGCACGAAAACTGCAATTTGTTAAAATACGGCGCCTTTCCTCTTGTCCCAATTAGAAAGAAAACTTTATTGTAGATATTCAGAGATTCTTGAACTAGCAGTAAATAAATCATTTGAATCAAAGGGGTGTGGATCCATGCTCCCTGCTACATTTATTTTACGAGTAGCTCGTCTAAGTACGGATAAGACAAAATATCCTTTAGGGCGGTTACACACGGGCGTGGATGTCTTACATATACGTGCATACATCAACGTGCAACCAAGAACGTGCATGGCGCTTTTGTACAGACGCTCGCACAAAACTGCAGTCTTGCTATTCTTGCTACAGTGTTCCGAGTGTGCATACAAAATTGCACATTCAAAAACGCGACGGTCTTTTGCATACACATTGATGTTTTTGTCTGCACGTTCATGTATGTGCGTACATGTTTTCAGACATCCACGTCCGTGTGTAACCGCCTTTACCAGCCTGCCCCACAAATGCACCAGATCCAGCTGTAATCACCTCTAGAAAATATGGAATACTTTCGATACCTCGGTAGTCATCTTTCGACAAATGTAGGTACATATTGATGCGGAAATATAACACCGACTCCAAACTAAGCTCGCGGTCTACAATACCCATCTTCGGGAGATGCATAGAAAAATATCACCTGCATTGCTTTAGAATAATGCTCAAATTAAACTGGCAGGAGCGGCGAACAAACAACAGTATCCTTGAGGAAACCAATTTCACCAGCATTAAGGCAATGCTCTTCCAATATCAGCTGCGCTGGGCTAGTCATGTCGTCCGCGTGCCAGGAAGACGTGAGTTCCTGAGAAAATTTTATTCCCATCTAAGAAATTGCCACCGCTACGGAAAAGGGCCATTCAAATAATACCTACAAAGATGACCTTAAGGCAAATTTTAAACGGCGATAGCAAAGGAATTCGGAGGACAATCGGAATTGTAGAGAAGAACGAGAACGTCTGCTTTGCAACAGCGACCAGCTACAGCTGATTGGGTGTGCAATTAATGTGGGAAATATACTTACTTATGAAGCTATTAAAGATCAAAGGTAATGCTAAAATTATAATATCTCTTATTTAGCGAGTTAATGCCTATGATAATAATGTAAGTATATGTTGTAAAGTGGAAAAATCTGGCACATGTACAAAATGTACAGGATGTACTATTTGAAATATGACAGCATTTTCACCTTGAAAAATCTCATGTGTAAAAAAACAAATTCCATTCGAAATTTGGCAACACTGTCGAACATACCTACTGTTTATCAACATTTTCATTTGTTTTTTTTTTCAAAGGCCATTTGAATCTTTATTTAGGTATAACTGTTGTAACTATGTGTCTTGTCCTATCCACATTCAATCTTGTTCTCAATTTTATTCCAGAACCCGTTGCGGAATTGGTTCCGAGAAGTCATCAGGGTAGGTGGTATTTCCAAAATTGTTAATCAACCTGATGCCCGCAGATGTGTCCAAATTTAATTATGTTCTGAATTTTATTCCAGGAACGGTGGCAGAATTTGGCCAGGAAAGTTATTTGGGATATTCTTTTTTTAATAATTGCTGATTGGCTGATTCCTGAAGATATTTTCCACGGACTATTGTGAAATATTTTAATAATTTGGTTGTATATGTATAATGTAGATATATAAAATATGTATACCTATATTTTATAAAAAATGTAAAACTTGATGTAATAAAAATCCCATTACAGCAAAAACACATACTTATCGTGCGAGCATTTAACTATAATAATTCCCAATTTATTTAGCAACTATCAAATTTAGTACTAATAAGGTGTAGGAAACATGTCTATCTAGAAGCTTTGAACAAAAAGTTGCTATATCCACAGGCAGTTAGTCAGTTTATGCATTTTTACGAAGAATCTAGAAGTGAATCGCGTGAGTCTAGAGGGGAAATGGATTTTTACCTTTCGTAATAGATCCGGTATGGAAAATCTGTTGTGTAGTATATTATACAAAAGTTATATATCTCGGATTAGTCGAATTTGATGACGAAGTGAGACCGATGGTAGTTCCAATATAGACAGCATCTGCTCATTATCCTAAAATATGATGTTCATTGTTTATTTTAAATGCAGCGTATTGCAAAAAATTATGCTGTACTCGTTCCAGATCATCTTCATGGACGATTCAAAATGGCGACCATACACAGCAGGAATATAACGGGTCTTCAAAAAAAAAACATATCAAAGACTGCTAGTGAACACTAGCAAAGTCAATGTGCATCGCTTGATAAAACCCAGCATCTGTAGGAGTCTTTATCGACTACAAAAAATAAATGGGAAGTAGAATTCAGAAAAGAATCGAGGGTAACGCCCAGACATTTTATTTCTCTTTAGTTTTCCAGGATTGATTGCACAATATAATGAAATAAACTTGCACTTGACTGGGTTCATCCAGCCATCACATTTCTATGGCATCAATCATCAATCGACCCAGTTATTGAGATCATAGTGGAGTTTGTCACAGTCGTTCTAATTCATTATCACAGAGCTAAATTTTAGGTCATCAATGAACAGTTGAAATTGTCTATGAGCAAGACATTCTTCAATGGTTTTGATAAAGACAATAATTAAACGGGCTCCCAAGTGTGACTCTTGCAGCACCCCAGAAGCGGTTTTTATCCCAGGAACGAAATTTTCCAATTCTATCTGTCTGTCCACTTTCCAGATAGATAGCTTTGGAACAACAATATAGAAGAGGAACTTCAACTCCAAGTAGGGGAGAGTAGTACACAATGGATCAATTTTCGGACTTAGATTTTTTTGGCAAAACTGAAAAGGATCTTAATTAATGTGAAAGTTTTAAGCTAAAGGTTTATGTTTAACAAAGTCGAATTAAATAGATAAATGCTCTAGAATTATTAGAGAGACTAAATTTGGTGATTTTTTGTTGTATCGACAATTGATCCATTGTGTACCATATATGGTACAGAATGAAACGAACAGTGGTACACAATGAAACTACCTGTGGTGTACAATAAAACGCTGACAATTTGTAAAATAAATATTTATTTCTAATAGAACAACAGTAGACAATGTTCTCCAATGTTTACAAAAACAAACATGAATTCTGAAAAATTGTTATATTATTTCAAAAACAAATCCGCACTAGCCCGTTTGTTAGTTTTCCAGCTTTCAGGACATTTTATTTTATTTCTATGTGCCATCTCGTATGCAAGTTTTCTTACTTTTGTTGTATTTTTCCTACTTTTCTTGTATTTAATCCATATATCATTTCACTACATTTTTTTAATATATATTTGCATAATGAGTCTTCTTGAACCTGTGAAAAAACAGCTCTCACCATTGCTCTCACGGAATAATTCGGCTCCATTTTTTGCATTTGGGTCTTCCCGTTTCTTCAATATCTCATTCTTATAGGGTGGTGAATTTGACATTATGCATTTCTGCGGCTTGTCTCAATGATGTGCCCTTATTAGGAACTTCTGCTACAGCAGCTGCCATGCCTTCTGGAGTAAAAGTAGCCCTTGTCCTCTCTTTCTTTTTTTCGGACCATAATAAATCCAAATAAACAAAAAAAAAAACTAAACTTTATTAATGTAACGCATATGCGTACTACACGAATAAATGTTGTTATAACATTACAACTAATACAATAATATGTTTAATAAAAAACAATGTTTTACAAAATGTTTTCAATGTGGTACACAATGATACATGTATCATTGTGTGCCACCGTGTAAGTTTCATTGTGTACCACCGGGTACCTGCTGATATTCAAAGTAAAAAAACACGTTAAATATTATTGAATCAATCTGAAATTATTAGGTTATGTTGCCAATAAACTCCCTATCCTAAATGTATCAGTCCCAAACAATAAAAATAATATAAAAAAATATCAAACCTTTTTACAACAAAATTCAGGAAAAAACTTCAGGGTCCAAAAAACACAGTTTTGTTTGCCACGTTCATGAAAATGCCGGTATCACCGCCAAAACACACTGAATGAAGTGGTAAACAACTGACGTACGTTGGGTCGCGGTGAAGTCAATGTGGCGCGAAATTTAAACAAAATAATTAGAATGTTTCATTGTGTACTGCGTTTCATAGTGTACTACTCTCCCCTACTTCATGTTTATGTAGCAAAATTCCATGAGACTCTTTGTCAAACGCCTTCGAGAAATCACTGTGGATGGTGTCCACCTGACAGCCATTCTGCAATCTCCATGGCGCCGGACAAGTAGTCAACATGTGTAAAAGATTTCCTTCAGTTGACCTCCGTGGCCGAAAACCAAACTGATAATCATTCAACGCGGGATCCAAATTGGGTAATAAGAAGTCGAATAGGTACCAAGCTTTCAAACACTTAGGGAAAAATGCTCAAAATACCTACTAATTTAATTTGGTCTGTTAGAGATCGTGTCACCAGAGTTGTATATAGGAGTGAAAAAAACTTCCCAAAAATCAGGAAAGGTGCCTGTGGAAAGAGGGGAAATAAATATACAGGGTGTCCCAGGGAAAACAGTCCACCCCGATTTATTGGATTTGGAATGATAATCTGGAAAAACGCTCGGACACATCGATTTTTGATTTGAGGGGGAAACATTTTTCAATTTTTTTCATACCCGTAGCTTCAGCTAGGGGGAGAACAACCCCCTTAATTTGAATAGGGGATAGGGGTCAAGTCATACCTCCTTTTAAAGGTCTCATCGAATTCTTTATGACCCTGGAATTTCGCCTTTTATTTTTATCCGTAACGAAATGACAGCTTGTCAAAATCTTGGAAAAGACTATTGTTTTAGTGGGAGTAAAAGCGGTACTTACCTTCCCTAATAAAAATACTTACAATTTACAATTCACATGTATAACTAATTAATAATAATAATATAAAAAACTTCAATTTTAAGTATTTTTATTAAGGGAGGTAAGTACCGCTTTTACTCCCACTAAAACAATAGTCTATTTCCAAGATTTTGACAAGCTGTCATTTCGTTAAGGATGAAAATAATGAGACGAAATTCCAGGGTCGTAAAGAACTCGATGAGACCTTTAAAAAGAGGTATGACTCGACCCCTATCCCCTATTCAAATTTGGAGGGTTGTTCTCTCCCTAGCTAGGGGGTTGAAGCTACGGGGATGAAAAAAACTGAAAAATATTTCCCCCTCAAATCAAATATCGAAGTGTCCGAGCGTTTTTCCAGATTTTCATTCTAAATGCAATAAATCGAGGTGGACTGTTTTCCCTGGGACACCCTGTATACATATGAAACAATGGTCTAGATAAAATGAAGCAGAAATTTGTCAACAAAATTGAAGAAATGCCATCTGGACCAGCGCTTTTGTCAATTTTTAAGCAGGAAAATTATCATAAATCTCAGATACATGGATGTGGTAGGATGAGATATGAACACTGCCAAATGAAAATTCACATGAGGTATCTCATACCTATTAGCAGAATAAACAGTTGCAAAATAGTCTGCAAACATGTTCATCGGGTTTTTCACTTTCCATAGCATAGTCGTTCGATCGGATAATTGTCTTGACTTCCGTTTATTATTGACGCCGCTGATATTGGCATTATGGTCAGGGTTCAGATTAAATTCTTGCAGCTTTTTGTTGCCTTATTGTTCTTAATTATACCTGGTAAAGTTGCGTTCGGTGTTGATCTCCATAACGATGCTCTAACGCAGCGACAAACGCATCATAATTTTGTTGGGAAGCTGGCGGAAGAGTCTCTAATAGGTCTAAGGCAGGTCCATGCAGTGCTACAATCAAGCCTGTAGTCATGTCATCGGAGCTCCAGCCATTAGCATTACAACAGTCTCGAATTGACGTCTATACATGGCCCACGATGTCTGTCCGTCATATGGTCTTGGCTTAACTTCAATACCAGGTGCAGGCGAGGAGGAGGTATTTTCTGATCTCAAGTCATATTCCAATTATTTTTTTTTTCTTCTCAAAACTATCCGTTTCTTGGCGTACCTCTGAGGAACAGTTTCAGCTTCTCTCAACTTCTTGACACATTCCCAACTTTTTCACGTACTTCTTCCATTACTTCCGCTGCTGAATTTATCATTTTGTACCAGAATTTTCTCGATTCGAGTTTGTTCCTCAGAGATTACGCATAGATCAGGCTGAATTGGAGCGATGGCTTAGTTTAGGTTAGTTTTTTCCGCACTAATAGGCACGGGTTAGTTGTTTCCACACTAACCCAAGCTAACCTGTGCCATCGCTCAAATTCAGCCTGATCTATGCGCCAGAGTCATCGAAAATTGGACCTCTCGGATGCGCGCCACCCAGCGCAGCGGCGGTGGCCATTTGAACGACGTCATATTTCACAAATCATGTCATCGATAGGCCTTTTAAGTAAAATAAAAAATTCTTTGATATCTTACACACAACTTGTTTTATTCAATTTTAAATATCTACCCGTTCATATTGGAAAACCCTCCCACATAACAGTGAAAGAACATTCATATTCTCAGAATATTCCCTCAAAGTGCTTTTTGGAATGTTCTTTTAGGAATGTTCAATGAATATTCTAAGATTGTTTCGATTGAAATATTCATTTTTGAACGTTCTATTTATGTACTAGGAATGTTGCTTCTATGCACCTACCTGA